TGCAGGTACTCAGCAGGGGGCCGGGAAGAGAAGGGCCTGGGTGTCTCCTCCAGGACCCCACAGAGCACCCCAAGCGGGATGGGGCCACACAACCAACAGTTCCCACACTCCATGCCCCGGGCAGCCTGGTCTGGTGACAAAGGGCAGCGCGTGCATCACTGGCCGCTTGTGCGCTGTGGCTACCCTTTGTCCTTCCGTCAGGCCACCCGCCATCTGGAGTGCAGGCTCCCAGCTCCGCTCAGTCCCACTCCAGGGTGTGCCTGGGGTGGGGCTGGGACAACAGCACCCCTCATGTTAGCCCCACACCCTCCTCCTCTCCCACCACCCCCTGCCGCTCAGGAAGGACGGAGAGCAAGTGCTGTGCATTCCAACTCAGCCCACCCTCCTGCATGGCSTCAGCCACCTCTCAGGGCCCGCATGCCTGTGTAGGGGCATCGTTCCTGCAGGTAGCCAGTCTGTACTGGGAGCCGTCGGGTTGGCTGACCAGCAGCACACAGGGCCTGGGCCAGCCATTTGACCTCTGAGCCCTCAGCCCCATCAGGCTGGCCCGAGAAGCCATAGGTCTGTGTTCCGCGGGCAGGCCTAGCACACGTGCAATAACTSGGGACTCCTACACCCTCCCCAATGCAGCCCCTGCCCGGAGCCCGTCCTAGGCCCAGGCAGACTCAGCACACAACTACCACATGCCTCCTGCCTCCTCTGTCCTTTGTCACTGGGGATGGGTGAGTGATACTAGTCCACCTGGGGAAGGGCCCACGCCTCCGGCCTGTCCTGCTGCAAGCAGCTGGGTGCTGACAAAGAGCCCAGGCAGGGCACACCTCACAGAMCAACTCTACCGTGGAGTGGCCCTGTACATGGGGGACACTGTCCCCACAATCTGGAGAAGAGCCATTTGCCTGCCTCCCCCCCCCCCCCCCCCCCCCCCCCCCCCCCCCCCCCCCCCCCCCCCCCCGAGGAACTTGGCTTTCCGCCCCTTTCAGGCAGTTTCTACCTACTGTCCCCAAGCTCGGGTTTGTGGGGTCAGAGGAGAGAAGCCTGGAGCCTGGTTTCTGACCCTCCTAGGTCTGCCTGCTCCTCACCTTCCCCACTGGGAACCAGGAGCAGGGGTCCAGGGGCCGAGGCCAGGGAGGGCAGCACTTCCACAGCCCAGTAGCCCCGCCTACTCCACGCACTGCGCCAGTTGCTGGGATGACAGTTGTGCACCTCCGTGCCTGGTTTAAGTGCTGCTCTGCACTGTAAAAACACTCGCGATGTATCGCAACCCTCACCGATGTCCATTTTCATCTTTCCAAGTGGAAACTGTCCCTATTAAACACTGGCTCCCCATCTCCCTCTAGTCCTCCAGCCACCATTCTACTTTCTGTCAATTTGGTGACTCTAGGTCTTTCCCACAAATGGAATCATACAGGACACTGAGGAGAAGGTCCTCAAGGTCCAACCATGTTGCAGCAGGTGTCAGAGTTTCCTTCTTTTTAATGGTTGTGTAATGTTCCACTGTATGGCTATAATACATTTTCTTTATCTGTTCACTCACCAGTGAAACTTGTATTGTTTTATCTCCTGGCTTTGGCAAATAATGCTGCTATGAACATGGGTGTAAAGATATCTTTTTGAGCTCCTGCTTTCAATTCTTTGGGGTACAGAACCAGAAATACAAGTTCTGGATTACATGGTAATGTGGTGCTGGGATTGAACCTAGGGCCTTGTGCATGCAAGGCAAGCACTCTACCAACTAAGCCATATCCCCATCCTTTATTTGGTAATTCTATGAGTAATTTTTTGAGGAGACTCCAAACTGTCTATCACAGCATTACATGATTTCACATTCCCACCAACAAGAAGTCCTCCCCTGGTCTCCAGAGCCTCTGGGTGCCTTTCTAGGGTCTCTCCCCCGACCTCCCCAGTCAGCCTGGGAAAAGGGTGGTGTTGTCTTGTGGGTTGTGCAAGGTGGCTTGGGTCCTCAATGCTGGATGCAAGCATGCCTGTGCTGGACTAGTAGGTCTTGCCAGGAGGTCCCATGTATGTCCACAGTGAAGTGCACCCCTAAGTGAGAGGGGCATCAACTCCAGACAGCCTGACCCACCCCAGCTACCGAAGCCCTCAAATTTATTGAGTTTTCCAGGGTGGGGGTTCTGGGAGTTGCAGGCAGGACAAACTCCCTCCCTCCCTCCCTCCTCAAAGTACCTCCCATCCAGAGCTGCTGGGAGCAGATGAAGCAGAGGACCCAACGCCCTCCACCCCGCCCAGTGCTCTGCGGGGCAAAGCCCGCCAGCCTGGAGCAGCCCTGGCCCTCCCCCTCCCCAGCTACTCACATGGATGGTGTGAGCCAGGAGCCCAGCCAGTTTCCCACACTTTGGCCCCATTCACAGTGTTAAACGGCCCACAAAGGCCAGGCGTGTGCCTCGGAGGCCGCCCGAGCTGCCATCTGGCCCGCACTCGGGGAGGGAACCCGCCTTTCATCCGGCTGGGACTTGACACCATTCATTTCATATTTCCCACAGCTGAAAATAGGATCAAAGCCGCTCCAGTCCAGCGGAGGGAGGAGGAGGGGAGAAGAGGCAGCCCCCACCCGGGCCCACCCACCACCCTCACCTCCGGCAGGCCGCTGTCCTGGCCCACAGCGGGTGGGCGGGCAGTTGGGGTGGGGTGGGGGCTGGACCACATCTCCTGGCACGCGTCTCATTTGGGCACAGGAGCAAGCTCAAGGAGGGAACCAGAGCCCGGGCCAACAGCCCCTCCAGCCTGGGGAGCAAGCCTGCATGCCCCCGCTCCCCCATCCCGGCCACAGCCCGGGTCCCTGCAGGCAGCAGCCAGGCGGTGGGTCCACCCCACTTCCAGCGGGTGGATGCYCAGGCCAGGGCAGGCTGGGCTCCAGGCTCACCCTGCTCCACTGTTTCTGAAGCCCTCGGCCCTTGTTTGAGCACCTCCTCGGTGCTGGGCCCTGGGCTGGCAGGACGTAGGTGACAGGCGCACAGGGGACTAAGTCCTCCTGCCCTCCCTCTTCCCAGCCCACCCTAGGGAGCCCCTACCCAGGACATGCCAAATGTGGCTGCCACCTAACCTGAACTCCATTTTAGTTGCCAAAATGGCCCCACTGAGCCTCACTGGGTTCCCCTTGAAGCCTGTGGGGCCCACCTGGCCACCCCGCAATGCCAGTCGCTGACAGGGCTTGGACTGCAGAAGCCAAAGCACGGTCATGTGGCCATGATACCCCGTCCTGGGCTCGCCAGGTGCCCTTTGCTTTTTCACTTCAAACAAGGGCCAGAGTGTCATGGGAGGGCCCCACCTGCTCAGGGGGGGTGTGTAATGGGAAGTCTGGGGGAAGGTGAGTCTTGATGGGTGACTAGCTGGCCCGTGGGAAGGCCACCAGCACTGGCCGGAAGCCAACCCTTCCTCTGCTACCCTGGACTGGACCATGTGTAGCAACCACATGGTCCTCAGGCTGAGGGACTACTGGAGCCCACTGGGCAGGCCATGTAGTGCAGGTCACTGCCAAGACAGGGCAGAGGAGGGTTGTGACTAGACCCTCGTTAAGGCCTGCAGTTCCCAGCCACACTCGGATGTGGCTGCCATCCTTCCAGGGAACCCAGCTCCTGGATTAAACTCTGCCGGAGTGTCCTGACACAGACCCCTGGCCCCCAGGGCTGGGCTCTGCCTCCTGCTCGGACTGCTTTGGGTCCCAATCTGCCTCTAGGAGAAGGCCCAGGCTCCCACCCCTCCCTCAGTTCCTGCAGGACAATGGGACTCCTCCTGGCTACGGAGAATCAGGGGACAGTAACTGATGCAGGAAGGGGTGGTGCTCCCAGGTGTCCTTCCTCTAGCAGGGTCCAGGCTGTGCTTAGTTGTCCCAAAGCTGCCACTGCAACTGGCCAGGTACCAGGGTTACCAGCGTATCCTAAGGGGATCCAGGGAGCTCGGCTGATCTTGTCTGCCACCTGGCACCCCCAACCTGCCCACTGGCAAAACGCCTGAGGAAAGCCCATCCTAGTGCCCCCGCTGTGCAGAGAGCCAATGCAGACAGGCCTTCCCACAAACCATGCAGAACGGCTGGCGACCTCCTGGAGATGGTGGGGGCCATGCGCCCTCCTGAGCTCCAGGGYTCTGCAATGGACTCCTACCACGCCTCCCGGGTGGGAGAGGACCCTGAGGAGCACCTGCTGGCTCCACAGCAGCCCAAATACCACTTTCTGGGGGCCGCCTGTGCCAGGCTGTATGCACAAACCCTGGCCCACCTGAAGCTGCCCAAAGTCGGCAGGGGAGATGTAACCACCAACTCCAGCTCTGGGAAAGTTCTAAGCCCCAGGTGACAGACTGGGGGCTGGCAACAGAGGCCAGAAGGATTGAGCCTAAGAGCATGGGCCTGGCTCTTACCCTAGGCCTGTGGACAGGGTGACAGAAGCACCTGTCCAGGAGAGTGTGGTCCCCTCTGTCTCCCTTCTGCATAGGCAGCAGGTCCCCGTCAGGGAGGGTGCCCATCCCTGAAAGCCATTGCTCTTGTTAATTCTAAAGCTTTCCCCTATCTGCGCCTGTGGCCTTTGCCAGCCAGCAGTAGAAAGTCGCCAGGGAAGGGGAGGACATGGGAGGGAGGAGGCCGCTCCTTCCTGCCCCCTCCTCCTCCCCGCGGCCTGGGAAAAGGCAGCATATTGAGGCGCGGGGCTCCCAGCATCAGGCCCCGGGATGCTAATGAGGGCGAGCGCGTTCCCACAGCCCGGACATTGTGCCGCGCGGCCCACCTGCTCCTCGGGGAGCGCCCATTGTGCCCGCGCCAATTCACAGGCAATTTAGCGTGCGCTAATGGGCCGGCGCCTTTGTGCGGCCCGCGCCGCCATTGGCCGCCGAGTGTGGGAACGGCCGCTGCGCCCGGGCCCCAGGCGCCAGGCCGCCGCCCGCGCCTATATAGGGCCGGCGCGCGGGTCCGTGTCCGCGCCAGCCCGGGACGCCTGGCTCTGCCCGCTCCGCTCCGCTCGCCCGCTCGCCCGCTCGCCTGCTCCGCGCCAGGCATGGCCCCCAGCACTGTGGCCGTGGAGCTGCTCAGCCCCAAGGAGAAGAACCGAGTAAGTGCCAGCCCGCCCGGCGCGCGGTCCTGTCCCCCGCGGTCCCGGCTAGCCCTGCCCGCCTGACGCCCCCTCCTTCCGCAGCTGCGGAAGCCGGTGGTGGAGAAGATGCGCCGCGACCGCATCAACAGCAGCATCGAGCAGCTGAAACTGCTGCTGGAACAGGAGTTCGCGCGGCACCAGCCCAACTCCAAGCTGGAGAAGGCAGACATCCTGGAGATGGCCGTCAGCTACCTGAAGCACAGCAAAGGTGAGCCACGCGCCCGCGCCCTGCTCCCCGCCGCGCCCCTGTGCCCCCGTGCCCGGCTCAAGCCGCCTTGTCCCCCCATTGAATCCCCGCAGCCTTCGCCGCGGCCGCGGGCCCCAAGAGCCTACACCAGGACTACAGCGAGGGCTACTCGTGGTGCCTGCAGGAGGCCGTGCAGTTCCTGACGCTGCACGCCGCCAGCGACACGCAGATGAAACTGCTCTACCACTTCCAGCGGCCCTCGGCCGGGTCCACGGCGCCTGCTAAAGAGCCCCAGGCGTCCAGCGCCGTCGCCCCGCCCGTGCGCTCCTCGGTCAAGGCAGCGGCCACCGCCGCCGCCGCGCGCCAACCCGCCTGCGGCCTCTGGCGGCCCTGGTGACCGGGCGACTGAGGGGCCGCCCGGTCTAGGACCAGAGGGCGAGCCGTTCCTCTAGAGTGTAGGGAAGACCTTCCCAGCCGCAGTCCGGCCCCCGGATGGAACGCACCCTTCTCCGGAAGGCTCCCTCCCCAGGCTGGCAGGCCAGCAGGAGGGTCATTCTCAAGAGAATGTGTGTGCAATGTCCTTGTCATTTTAGGACAATCAGGGCCCATTTTCTGCCAAGTATCTGACCCCAAGGGGTTGTTCTGTGTTTGCATTTCAGCAAGTGACTTCTGGGAAGTCCCCATTTGCGGGGTTCTATGATATTTGTAGGGTCAGGGGCTGGGCCTGCCGAAGCCCCATCCTGTAGAGGACTTTCTTCAGGGCCTGTTGCTGCTGGGCAGGGCCCCTGCAGGCAGGCCGTGCCGTGGGCACGCTTGCCTTTTGTGAAGGCGGAACTCCAGGTGTATCCTCATAGGAAGTACTCAGCCTGCGTGGGTGCCTGGACCACGATGTGGTGGTTCTAAAGTCCACATGGCTTGGATGTCTGGTGGAGGCTCATAGTGGGCTGTTTGGGGAGAGGGGTCTCCACTGTGATCCTTAAAGGATTCCTTTGTGTGGGTGGGTGCACCGCGGGATGATTTTGTACTTAGAATTTAAACTCTTCCTCATGTGAGAGCCCATGGACTGCTCTGAAAGCTTCTAATAAAATCTGTCATTCTTCACTGTCTGTGCCTCGCATATGTCTTTGCCATCCACGGGGGGGGGGGGCAGGTCTTCAGCGGTGAATGGGAGTGGGCACTACTGTCATATGCAACCACAGCGGGGAGGAGCACTTGCCAGTGGGCTTCTGAACACAGGGAAAAGGGCTGGGTCCTGAGGGAGAGAGGGAGGAGGGGTGCAGGGAAGGGAGGAGAGGTAGAGAGGCAGGGGAGGGGCAGGCCAGAGAGACTGGGACCTGCAGAACTGTTGACTCAATGTTTCTGCCCTCGCTGGCTCCCTGCAGGGTGGGGTTTCGGGGCAAAGAGGGCTCTGTCCACAGAAAACTAGGACCACAGTAGACCTCTTGCTGCAGCAAAAGAGGCTTGGCTAGTCCACAGGTGATTCCCTGTGAACCAGCTGACTGCAGAACCATGCAGTGTTAGCCAGGAACCTACCAGGGGCAATCCTCTGCCTCAGAAGGGCACCTATTTTTAGGCAGGCCACCACATGTTGTTGTGAGTCTGCAAGACCCTAGAACCAAAAGCCACCAGTCTAGGAAGGAGCAACGTCTCCACATATTTTCTGAATGACAAGTCAGATGTGGGCCCTGCCCTTGCCCTTCCCACTGACCACTTCTACCCCTCTCCACCTTTCACTCCTACCCACTCTGGAGGGAATATCTAATGGGGCACCTCTCAGGCTAGTTCAGTGCCTCTCGGGGTCCCTGCCCAATCTGTGGCTGTGGTGAGCAGAGGATGGGAGGTCCCTATTCCTTCTGCGGGTTTAATGAATGTGCCGCTGTACATGAAGGTAGGAGAAAAGGCCACCACCCCGTGGAGTCCTCCAGAATGCATGCCTGGGTCCCACCGTGACCAGAGGCAAGTGAAGCCACCTTAGGCCTGCTCTGTCTGCCTCCAAACACTAGGTTCTTTCCCAACACACCAGGGCCTCTGAGTAACGCCCTTCTCTGAGGTGCCCCCAGTGACTCACCCTGAAACCCTGCCTCCACAGGTACCCCTGTTCCATTTGGGCTGTTTCCTCAGCTTGTTCCTTCCAGAAACCACCTTGCCAGAAGGTGCCCTCCTCTGGGTAGCCTCCCTGTTCTCTGAAGATTGCCATTTAAGAGTATGCCATCCCCAGGTGGGAATGCATGAGCCACTCTGGCAGGGGGCTCCTGATGTCAGGGTCAACTCTCCCAGTTCATGTGGGACTTTAGCACTGAAGATCCCACATTCTGGGGAACTGGATGCAGGGGTGGGGCACCCTAGCAAAGAGACGTTCACGGACCCGTGGACCCGTTCACCGTGAACACCTGCAGGGCCAAGCTCACACAGGCAAGCACCAGATCCAGGTGGCCTCTTGGAAGTGGTCTCAGAGGGTTTATAACACTGGAGTTAACATCTGGCCATCTTGAGGAAAGAAAAAGAACATTCCAGATGTTCTGTAGATGCTCCACCTCTGGAAGACAATGGCCCACCCCTCTGCAGACCTCACCGGCCTCTCAGACCCTGGCCCAGGCAGGACTGGCCCCTGCTGGCCCTCCGGCCCAGGCAGGCGGGGCGTGGCCTGGACCTCATTAGCATAATCTATGCGCGGGGGCGTTTAGCAGTCAAATATATGCGCATATATCTCCATGGCTGATGAGGCTGGCCGGGCACTTTCAAAATGGCGGAGTGCGGAGCGAGCGGCGGCGGGAGCAGCGGGGACAGCCTGGACAAGAGCATTACGCTGCCCCCCGACGAGATCTTCCGCAACCTGGAGAACGCCAAGCGCTTCGCCATCGATATCGGTAGCGGCGGGCCGGCGCCGGGGCGAGGGCCACCGTGGCGGGCGGGCGGGCGGGCGCGGGGGCGGCGAAGGACGAAGGGCGGGGGCGCGGGCCGCGCTGCCTCTCGGGCCGCGTCGCGTGGCGCCTGCGCGCTGCTCACCGGCCGCACTGCGCTCCCGGCAGGCGCCGCGCGGGGGTCGCGGGGGGCGGGTTGCGGCGGCGGGGGCGGGGCGGGGCGGCGGCAGGGGGGCGGGGGGAGCCGGCGGCTGGCGTTCCCGGCTCGCGCCTTCCGCCTGGCCTCCGAGGCCTGCCGTGCGCGGAGTCACCCGGTGGGCGAGGGGCCGCCAGGACTGGCGCCCAGACGACCCTCGCCGCCGTCGGGGGCTTCTTGAGGCCTTGGAAGATTTGCTGCAGGCCTCTTGCCCTGTGGATGCCCCCAGGGACCGCGCAGGACAGTTTGTGCCGTCCTGTGGCCGTCCCCGGAGGCCACTCCGAAAATCCTGGAAAGAACACGTGTGCCGCCGAATTCTCATCTCTTGGCAAAAGTTGGGCGGTCAGAGACGGACTCCCACCCCCGCAGCTGTTGCATCTGGGGCATTGAGAGCATTCATTGCTTTTCTGTTCTCTGGTCACTTTGAATCATGGGCTTGGCGCATCAGTCTCTCCCTATCCTGGGAGGAGGAGTCCCCCAGGGAAGTACAACGCAATGACCTGTCCTGACTGCTCACCTTGTGGTGTGCTCACGAGGGGTGGTGATTCCGGAGGGCTTGACAGGGCAGACATCAGAGTGCGTGCGGGAGAAGCATTTGAAGGGACTCCTGATTGGGCCTGGAAGTGACGAGCCCTCCAGAGGCTGGGTCTTCCAAGAGCTTCTCCCCACTTGGGCATATGCCCTGAAAGGCTCTGTGGACTTACACTGGTGAGGGTGCTGTCAGTGGGAACAAGTCCACTAAATGCATCTGAAAAGCTATCGAGATCAACTGCAGGTGTCACTGGGGGACAGCTGGAACAACGGGGCTCACTTCAGGAAGGCCTGTGGAAGGTCCTGCTGCCCAAGGCCAGGCCCTGGGTTTCTTGGCAGAAGGATTCCTAGGGGATGTTTGTAGGGTTGGGCTTCATTCTGCTCTTTGAGAGCTCCCCCCAGGGTACAGGTCCTGAGTCTGGTCTTAAAAGGACAGCTTATTGTTTGTGAGGACAGACCCTTGTTACTGCAGCTAGAGGGGGTCACAGCTCATGGTGGAGGTCCTCTGCCCAGACACTCCTGAAGCCAGAGTGCTTGTCAGCAGTGTTGTGTGACAACAGGCTTCTCCCATTTCTTCTTCCCTCACCCAAGTCTGTGGATCCAGGAAACTCAGCTGCTCTGTGTTCTTGGCCAGCCCTTTCCCTTTCTTGGATGGGGACACCAACGTCAGCTGGGTTGATTCTCCTCTTTGGATGCAACAGGGACACTTTGTTTATGAAAATGTCCTTGAAGTTTTGACTTCACTAAGTTTCTGAAGGCTGTGGGGAGGCTTTCCTAGGGGGCATGTTGGGCAGGAAGGGGCCCCGAGGAAGTGGTGTGCACCTTGCTTTCCTGCCCTTCCTTGCTGCCCAAAGTGGAAAGCCCTGGCAGGAGAATAGTTCCTGGGCCTGAATGGATCAGAAGCTGTGGCTCTGGTGCTGAAGAGGTCATGGGTGACTGCACCTTTGGGATGCTCCTTCCCAGTTGTCAGGCTTTGCTGCCAGCCTGGGGCTGGACTCGAGAGCCCCAGTGAGCAAACGTCTCTGTGTCCAGCCAGCCCAGCTGCATGCTGGTACTCACAGTGTGTGGGAAACCTCACCTGGGTTCTGATTCCAAGGGACCCGAGAATGGATGGAATGCCCCACACATGCCGGGCAAGCACTCTACCACTCTGTACCACTGAGCCACAACCCCAGCCCCTGGAACATCTTTTTTTTTTAGTACTTCTGTTCCTCTCAGGTCCTTAGCCAATCTGAGTACAAGAGTTTCCTCCCAGCATGAAACCCTAAAGCAGAAAGGGAAATGTCTGCCTCTGGGTGCACTTGGCTATCACTAGGTGTTTAGGAAATTTTAAACTCTGATTTTGATAATGACCCAAAGATGTAGGCTGACACATCCAGGAGTCTTTTGCTTAAAGAAGCTCACACTTGACCATTCGTCCTAACAAGCAGGCCTGGCACTACCGGAACATTTTCTCAGGTGCATGCAGACAGGAGGTAGGATTCACCAACAGGTAGGGATCAGGGCCAGAAAGCAGCTCCTAGCTCTGGTGGAGCCAGCCCAAGCCCCTGAAGTCACTGAAGGAAGTCAGACTCCACAGGCCAGTCTCTCTAAGTCTCCAAATTCTCCTAAGTGCTACATGCAACTAGACGCTGAGCTCAACACCAGGAAACTGGGAAACAGACGAGGCCTCTGTCCACCAAGACACACTTCAGGGGAAGCCACAAAGGGTCCCAGAGAAGGCACTGTTAAGGATGAGCCCAGGCTGGGGATGTGGCTCAAGGGTAGCGCACTCGCCTGGCATGCACAGGGCGCTGGGTTCGATCCACA